TTATGCACTTATACAAACATGCGCATTGTTTAGACATGGTTTGGTTTTTGACAAAATCTGTTTTTTTTGCTGTACAGCAGGTCAGTGCAGAATGAACAGCAGATGGTATGAAAAATCTGTAAATGCTTTGGAAATGCATTCAATTGAATGATCATGCTTGAGCCTCAGGAACTACTGCAAATGCTGGTTTATGCTATTCGGTGCCTCTTAAATACATTGAAGTTGCGACAGAAATGAAAGTCGTTATTCTTGCAATTTGATAAATGCTAATTCCATACAACTTTGCTAAATACTTGCAGATGTGTGTGTTTAACTTGAGAAATAGATTCAAAGAATTTGCTGAAAATTAGAGACAGTAAAAAGGAAAACATTGAATTGTGTCTGATATATCTCAAAATGTTATCAGTTATATAATAGCACTGTAGTTATATTCCTGGAATAGTAGAAATCTGGAGGCTCTGAGTAAAGATAGTGACCATAAAATGAGTGGGTTGTGGTAAAAGTCATCTGCTGCACTGATGATCAATCAGGAAGGAAATTTGCTGTTATCACGCAGTCTAGCCTATACGTGACTCCAAACCCATGGCAATGTGGTTGACTCTTAAATGCACTCTGAAATGGCCCTGCAGTCTCTGTTGCATTCATGAAATGTCTCACATGCAACCTCTTTATGGCAATTAAGGATGTGCAATAAATGTTGATCTCATCAGCGATACCCACATTCTGTGAAGTGACAAATGAATATTGACTGCTGAGAAAGGGATTTCACTTAATAAACAAAGAAATTACACATGGCCATTCAACATCACGGTAGTGACTGCTAGGTCTCCAAGAAGCTGTCGCAATTTAATTTAGTTTGGAGTTTAAATTCATTCAATATGGACTACAGTGGTTCAAGAAGGCAGCTCATCATCACCTTCTCAAGGACAGCTAGAGGCAATCAACAAATGCTGGCCAGCCAGTGATACCCACATCCCAAGAGTGAATAAAACAAAAGTCTAGAATTGTAAAAATAGTTTTAAAATACCTCTGATCGGTGTAAGATCCCATCTGGTTCACTATCATCTTTTAAGGGCAGAAAACTGTTGTCCTTACCAGGTCCAATCTATCTGTGACTCCACACCCACAGTAATGTGGTTGATTCTTAACTGCTTTTAAGGGAAAATAGGCTGAGCAACAAATGCTTGCCTTTCCAGGGATGCCTATACACCACGAAAGAATAATGAAAATAAATACATTTATCTGACAATAAAGAACTGTTTGCCTTTTATTTTCCAGGGATACACCTAAAGGGAATGGAGGGATACTACAGGATGAAGGTGTTATGGGGAGCCATAGGATGTGACTTCGATCTAAAATAAGGAACCTGAGGCTGAATTGACATGGCATGATGAAGTGAACAGTGAGAACATGCTGTGACTGAGATTACATGCTTGCATCAGTCTGGTTATTAAGTATTTTACAACTCTGATATGTGTAGTCACTTGATTGCCTTCCTGTCTGGAATACAGACCTTAGATAACCAGCTCAAGCCTGCACTTTGTGTAATAAATCTACTGCTCCTTTTTTGCTGCTTGCAGCTTGCATAAATTGCCTTCAGGTCCCTACTAAAGATTTTCTATTTGCTATGAGTGTAGGAATGCACAAGCACATCCCAAATCATGAGTTTATGCGCCAATCTGGATAGGTTTTCCAAGATGTCTTCATTTAAATGTGCGAAATGGAGTCAAGTGGTCTCAAGCTTGGGGCAACAATGGGACTCCACAACACTGAACTGGTTTGTTTGGTAATGTGCTCTGCTCCCTGGAGCAATTATCATCTGTTTTTCTGAGTTCAGAAAATAAAGCCACCGTATTTGAACGCATTTAAGGTTGGGGTGGGAGGAAGTTCAAAGCAGACATGAGCTTTTTACACAGAGTGGTAGGAGTCTGGAACGCACTTGCCAGGGGTGGTGGTGGAGGCAAATATAACAGGGGCAGTTAAGGGGCTTTGAAATAAGCACATGAATATGCAAGGAATGGAGGGATATGGACCAATGGCAAGCAAAAGGGATTGGTTTCATTTGGAATCATGTTTGGCACAACACTGCGAGCCGAAGGGACCGTTCCTGTGCTGTACAGTTCTATGTTCTATATTATTTCAAGGAAAGATGCGAATTAAGAGTCCAAGGACAGTGGGCATCAAGCTAGACATGCAGCCTGTCAAACTTCCACACGGAACAACAGAAACTTGGTTCCTGACCTACTGAATTAATCCTCCTCAGGTAGCGCAATGATCAAAAAGAAGAGGAGTGGTGAGGCACCAACTTACAGGAAGGCAGGGACATTCATCGTCAACTTTTCAGACTTATTTATGGAGCAACGTGCTTAGTGCTCCTCTTCAGACTTGGATGAAGCACTTAGTTTGGCCCAGGGAGGTTTCAATGGGGCCCCATTTTATTTCATTCGGGCAGTGACAGAGAAACACGATCTTAACTGTGATCAATGAAGCTCTTTGTTCATAAATCTTCACCTTGTGAGATAACCACCTAGAGAGTTCATACTGCAGGCAAGAGGATTGAAGTGACAAGGCAGCATGGACCACAGGGCTCAGAACTTCCACTCTTCCTCATCCGCTATATTTTTATCTGCTTCGCAGATTATTTCACTGACAAGTCTGCAGGCTTTTAATTACTGTCCATGCTGTGACTGTCACTGTAGCAGTGTCAGAATAATTTGATATTTTGTAAACTGTAATTTGCCTATAAAATGACAGATCAACACATTGCTTTGAAAAATAATAACTCAGGGAAGACTTTGGTTCTTGGTTACTCACTTCCCGTTGGATTTCACTCTCTGCTAGTTGCAGGCCATAAAAAGAAAATAAAAAGCTCTGTGGGATTCAATAACCTTTCAAGGCTGAACATTTCCTCCATGTACTACATCTTCATTTCATCAGGATTGTCAACAAGTTAAAGAAAGCAGCTCACTTAAACAAGATTGCATGACTCCCAGCTCTGAGGCTCAACCTCAACATGTTTTACTTGTGGCACTCAAGTGCCCAATTGATTAAGACTTCAGGATACTTAATTTATCTGTCATTTGTACACATGAGATATGCATTTAGCATAATCTTGCTTCCTCACGCGTGTGTTTCTGTCCCCTTGCAGTCTCACAAGTCCAGTTTTTTGGTAATCAGACTCATTGTTGCATTAAAATTTCATGCCAAAAGTTTGCAAAGGCTAGGGCAGAGGGGGTGTCACCATAATTAAAGTTCAAGCAATGAAATTTATTCCTCCTTTGGTTTCAGGATGCTGTGTATTGAGGAAACTTTATGGTCACCATTTTAGGTTGGTATGCAATGACTGCGGACAGTTATGAAAATGTTCATACAGATGCCTCCAGCAATTGGAAAATTTGGTGCGATGCCTTTTGACTGGAAAACTGAACGTGTGTCAGATATCTTAACTTGCTTTTTATCCTCTGCGCTCTCAGGTGAACACAAAATATTCCACGGCACCACTGGAGCTCTTCTGGTTCTCTGACCAACATTCATCTTCTTCAACTAATATCGCTGGAACAGATTATTCATTTCACAGAAAAACACGGAATTACTTCAGAGAGGGGTCTGGACTGGTTTAGTCAGTAGTTCTCCTGTCTCTGATTCAAAAAGTCCAGGTATAACTCCCACTCCAGAAGTTGTGTACCACAGAAAAACCCAGCGACTGGTACAGACAGGACAGTATACACTGACTAAGGTTACCAGCCCCAATAAATGATGGTTTGCAGCAGGACGAGTACTTGGCCAAATCATGAAATACAAAAAAATACGGCTGCTGCGAAAAATGATCAACCGGAATTGTGATAATCCCACTAAATTCTGGAAAAGCATAAACAGAAAATACCCAGCAGGGCTGACAGTATCAATGGGGGGAGAAGCAGTGTTAACATTTCAGACCTGTGACCTTCCACTAGAATTAATCTCAGGAAAAGACACTGACCTTAAATGTTATCCCTCTTTATCTCTCTCCTTATTTCCAGAATTTTTTGATTTGTTTATTTCAGATCTTCATCATCCTTAGTATTTTGCTTTTGGTATCTGGTTAGTTTGAGACCTTACTGTGCATGAACTGGCTGCCACATTTTTCTATATATGAGAAAAGTGACTACACCTCAAAAGTACTTTACTGGGCTGTAAAGCGCTTTGGGAAATCATGAGATTATGAAAAGCACCGGTTACAGGTAAGCTTTTGTTTCAACGCCGAAGAAATGCAGTTTAAAGCCCTAAAAAACAGAAACAGAAATTGCTGGAAAAGGCTAGCACATCTGGCAGCATCTGTGGAGAGAAATCAGAGTGACCTTTCTTCAGTATATGTAATTTCTGTCAACAGCCTATGTTGGCAGAATACAACAGTCAGTAAGGCTTTGTTAAGAACTAGGTGAATCACCACGACAGATACACCCAATTTCAACATAATTAAAAATGCATTCATGTGTTATAATAATAATCTATAATTAGCTGATGTGAAGCTAATTATTTATAATAAATACCCTTAATAGTTCTGATATTTCAGTTGGAACATTCAACAGCAAAGTGCTAATGAAATGAAGCAATGTGAATATATAATTACTGTGTTTTACTCTTTTTCAAAAAAAACCATGCAATTAGATTCCAAAGCTCTAATTATTTACTATTAAAAAGTATTCTAGATAAAATGGCATAATTTCATGTTTTTTTTTCAGATGCCATGCCCACAAGTTAAATGTAAGATAAAGAAAGCTCATAACAACCAGACACTTCAATTAATTATTCAAGTTGTTTCCTTGTCTGTAAGCCAGCATACCATGACAGGTCTCCAAAATAAATCCACTTCATCACTTCAACTGACCCACTTAAATACGCCCCCTACTCCTGAATACATGGGATGCCACTCAGGCAGACTGCACCTTTCCCCATTTCAATAAACATACGAGTACAGAACATAAGAGTCACATTCATTTTTGATATATGTTACCCCTTACCTGTTTACGCCTTGATTGACTGCAATGTACATTTCCCAAGAATTTCCCTCTGGAATTGCCCCCAGTGGAACCAATAAACGGACTCCTAGTGATAAAAGGTCACCATTGGTATCACAGTATACATGACTGAAATGACAAATTTTGTAAATGCAATTGCCAGTGATATATGGGACTAGTGTTGGAAGATTAGAAATGGAATAATGAGACTACTTATTTGAAACAATGAATTATTCAAAGATGGAACACTTTACCATGAATAGCTAGAAAGAAACAGGTAATAACATTGATAAAGGAATTGAACATCCATTGCAAGTGAAGCTTCATAACGAGTAAGGGGGCAGAACGGCTCCAACTCACAGCAGTAAGCTCAAAAATGCAGTATCATAGTCATAGAAATGCACCACATGGAAGCAGACCCTTCAGTCCAACTCGTCCATATCGAGCAGATATCCAAAATTAATCCAGTCCCATTTGCCAGCATTTGGCCCATATCCCTCTAAATCCTTCCTGTTCATGTACTCATCCAAATGCTTTTTAAGTGTTGTAATTTTACCAGCCTCCACCACTTCTTCTGGCAGTTCATTCCATACATGCACCACCCTCTGTGTGAAAAAGTTGCCCCTTAGGTCCCTTTCAAATCTTTCCCCTCTCACCATAAACCTATGATCTCTAGTTTTGGACTTCCCTACCCTGGGAAGAAGACCTTGACTATGCTCATTATCACTGCCCCTCATGGTTTTATTAACATCGATAATGTCACCCCTCAGCTTCCAACACAGTGGTTTGGTCAGTTCTGGGTCGGGAACTTGTGCGCTGTTTAATGCAAAGATTTACAGGGAAGCTAACAAGCATTTAGGCCAACTATTTTCTTCTAACACCTGCCTGCAACCTGCATGCTTCCTTGCAGATTGTGGGCTAAAGAACAAATTATGTGTTTCCAGTCTGAGGCGCATTCAGAAATTTGGATTTGCTTTTTAGGCACCATGCAAGAAGGTACAATACATCCAGTCTCACGCATCCATTGACCAAGCACACACTGGAATGCAGACAGGGTTTGAACCAAGGCTTCAGGAAGTTACAGATTATTACAGAATGGTATGATTTATACCCCTTCAGGTCCTCAATGTGAATATGACCTCACATCTGCTCAAAGACAATCAGAAACTGTGACTGTTGAGCTCCAGTGAACTCTGGCAGCCACCGTATATTCATTACAGATCCTGTGCTCCTGGATTGTAAACTTAGCAAAATCATTTCAGCTCTGTAGCCAAATGATAAATCATATTATAAATGACTGTTTCACAATTTCACTGAGCCTTGAGCACAAAATAAATACTTTCCTGAACACTTCTGGTGTGCCCAGAAAAATAGCATGGATCATAGAAACTTGGGACCATAATGGAAAATAATAAAATACATGAAACTGAGAAACTTTCCCATGTTGGTGTGGGACCAACTTCTAAAGCAAAGGAATTTACCTCTATCTAAACATTCATATATTTTGTGAAAGGAAGGAAAATATGCACATGACTATGATATTGTCCCTTCTAAAGTCAAGGAATAAAGATTTAAGACTTTGTCAATAACTTTAATCACTGGTAAAATTGGAAGGCTGCAAATTGGCAAGATGAACCCCTCTGCTCACTGAGCTCCACAGGTGGACACTCATTAAGCTGTAGGGAGAATGCCGGTGTGCATTTTCCAAGTTTCTTGGATACAAAACAGTGAACAATTTTAGCAAAGATACAGCCTTGATTCAGTCATTACCAGGAAAGATCCCAACAATAAATCTGTTGCTTGCACAAAACAAGCATTAGATCCCCTGAATAGGTTATCTACAGGCACATGGTCTGTTGAAGGACCCAGCGACAAGATGAATCACTGATGAGGAAGACAACTAATGGTAGGTTTAATTGTGATTGAAGAAAAACTTTCTGTGGAGCCAAGAAGGGGAGTGCTCTTCCATCTTCCAGGCACAGGGAGGCAATGACCTAGTAGTATTATCACGAGACTGTTAATCCAGAGACCCAGATTCGAATCCCATCACGGCAGATGATGGAATTTGAATTCAATAAATATCTGGAATTAAGAATCTAACGATGACCGTGAATCCATTGCCGATTGCTGGAAAAACTCATCTGGTTCACTCATGTCCTTTAGGGAAGGAAACTGCCATCCTTACCTGGTCTGGCCTACGTGTGACTCCAGATCCACGGCAATGTGGTTGACTCTGAACTGCCCTCTGGGCAATTAGGGATGAGCAATAAATGCTGCCTAGCCAGCGATGTCCTCATCCTGTGAATGAATAAAGATTTTCCATTGTGCAGCACGGTGGTTCAGTGGTTAACACTGCTGCCTCGTGGCTATCAGGACTCAGGTTTGGTTCCAGCCTTGGTTGACTGTCTGTGTGGAGTTTGCACTTTCTCCTTGTATCTACGTGGGTTTCCTCTGGGTGCTCCGGTTTCCTCCCACAGTCCAAAGATGTGCAGGCTAAGTGGGTTAGCCATGGAAAATGCAGGGTTACAGGGATAGGGTAGGGGTTGGGTCTGGGTGGGATGCTCTTCGGAGGGGCGGTGTGGACTCATTGGGCCAAATGCTTCTATTGTATGACCTTAATATTCAAAGCCACTGTCTTTCTCATGCACTCCCCATGTCCCCTCTTCCCCCAGTCCAGATGCGATCCTTCCAAGAACTCAGCTGACAAACATTGAGCAAAGTGACTCACGCAAAAAGCAGACCAAGATCTTATGAATAACAGACCATTTTAAAGGTGGGAGATTCTGGGTGGAGTAACCCACTGTAGTCATAGTGATTACCTGGGCAGGTGAGAGGCTATGAATCCAGCAGTGAATAACTCAACTCAATAATTCAACTTAGACAGCCAGAGACTTTTTCCGAGAGTGGAGGTAGCTTTTACGAGGGGACACAGTTTTAAAGTGAAAGGAGGTAGGTATCGGGGAGACGTCAGAGGTAGGTTCTTTACTCAGAGAGTGGTCGGAGCGTGGAATGCATTGCCGGGGAGGGTAGTGGAGTCGGTCTCATTAGGGGCATTTAAGCGGCTATTAGACAGGCATATGGATGATATTATAAGGTAGCGGTGAAGGTTAGATAGACCTTAGGTTTAGGGTAAAAGATCAGCACAACATCGTGGGCCGAAGGGCCTGTACTGTGCTGTACTGTTCTATGTTCTAACTCCTGACTCCGCAAAGCCTGTCCACCACCTACAAGGATAAGTCAGGAGTATGATGGAACACAATCCATTTTCCTGGATGAATATAGCTCCAATAACATTCAAGAAACACAATGCGTTCAGGACACAACAGCTGACTTGTCTGATATCCCAACCACCACCTAAACATTTCTGTCCTCCAGCAATGTACAGTGGCAGTAGTGTACACCATCAGCATGGTTCCTTCAATAGTGCCTTCCAAACAGCTACATCTATCATCTAGAGAGACAATGGCAGCAAATGCACATGACCATCTCATAATTTTATAAACCTTTATAAGGTCACACTCAAGCCTCTGATGCTCCAGCGAAAATAGCCCCAGCCTATTCAGCCTCTCCTTATAGCTCGAACCCTCCAACCCTGTCAACTTCCTTGTAAATCTTTTCTGAACACTTTCGAGTTTCACAACATCCTTCCTGTAGCAGGGAAACCAGAATTGCACACAGTATTCTGATAGTGACCTAACCAATGTCCTTTACGGCCGCAACGTGACCTCCCAATTCCTATAGTCAATGCGCTGACCGATAAAGGCAAGCATACCAAATGCCTTCTTCATTATCCTAACTACCTGCAACTCCAAGGTCTCTTTGTTCAGCAACACTCCCTAGGACCTTACCATTAAGTGTATTAGTCCTGCTCTGATTTGACTTTCCAAAATGCAGCACTGCACATTTATCTAAATTAAACTCCATCTGCCACTCCTCGGCCCTTTGGCCCATCTGAACAAGAACCCGTTGTGCTCTGAGTTAACCTTCTTTGCTGTCCACTACATCTCCAATTTTGGTGTCATTTGCAAACATACTAACCAGACCTCCTATATTCACATCCAAATCATTTATATAAGTAATGAAAACCAGTGGACCTAGCAGCTATCCTTGCGGCACACTGCTAGTCACAGGTCTCCAATCTGAAAAGCAACTCTCCATCACCACTCTCTGTCTTCTACCTGTGAGCCAGTTCTGTATCCAAAAAGCCAGTTCTCCCTCAATTCCATGTGATCCAGCCTTGCTAATCAGTCTACCATGAGGACCTTGTCATGCGCCTTACTAAAGTCCATTTGGATCATACGCACCACTCTGCCCTCATCAATCCTCTCCATTACTTCTTCAAAAAACTCAAACAAGTTAGTGAGACATGATTTTGCACGCACAAAGCCATGTTGAATATCTCCAATCAATCCTTGCCTTTCCAAATACATGTAAATCCTGTCCTTCAGGATTCCCTCCAACAACCTGCCCACCACCGATGTCAGGCTCACCGGTCTATAGTTCCCTGGGTTTTCTTTACCACTTTTCTTAAATAGGGGTACCATGTTAGCCAACCTCCAGTCTTCCAGCATCTTGCCTGCGGCTATTGATGATACAGTGAGAGAATAAAATATAAGATTTTATCCTCCAATTTTAGGATATCCTCAATGCAAACACAGGCTGCACATGCAACATTCAGTTTGGGCCTGGAAATGAGCTCAGGCTAATCTCCACCCATGTTCATCTTTGTAAATAAGAAAACAAGTTTTCCATTCAGTTGTTCAGAATATTTCTGCTTTGACATTACTTATGTTTGTCAGCAATAGCTCAGTGGGAGAAATAGTTTGCACCTATTACCTTTATTAAAGCAGTTTTTGTTTGTTTTCCTTGCCAAACGCTCTGCTCCGCGAAGGAACTACTTCAGTGCAACAATCTGTCCCATGGACCGTTACATATTATTATGACTGAAAGGTGGTGCAGAGACATGTTTCTTGTCTGTGATGCGACACTGTATATCAAAAGCTGAACTCTTTCTTATCCCTCAGGATTGACGGCTTAGAAAAAGATCAATGCAGACCCATTTGTAGTCCAAGTCTGTGTTTCATGTTG